GTGGAGGTGATCGTAGGTAGGGTCAAAGAGGAAAGTTCGAACTGCAGCTTGTTCTTGTTGCTGACCAGCGGTAAGAGGTGAGGCGCACGCAATAAAATCTCCCTTTCCTTTTGCAATTTGGTTGCGCTTGCTCTGAGCTATTCTGCCGCCAAGCCTACCGGGATGTGTACTGTAAAACAGTGTTGCATCCTGTGGAGGGGCTCAACCAGAAAGCCCCTTTCAAATCGCAAAAGTGGCGAGCTTTTCCCACTGGTCGTAACCCACTGAAGGGGGCTGCGGAGAGAACATCTGAGGTTGGGGGGGTGGTGGGGGAGATGGGGATTGTAGCCAGCCTTCGGCCCTCGCATCAACAAGGGGTACCTTTGATGTCCCAGCACTTTCTTCATCCTCTGAAGCCAGCGTTACTTGTGATGTGAAAGGTCTGATGGAGGATGGGTGGGCTGCCAGTGGCAGTAAGTGACTCTGTACCACATGAACCAGAGCGTTGATCATTGGTTATATTGGTCGTGTTCACGGGTCCTATAAAATTCATATTCCACAGCTGGCAGCCATCTGTTCTATTTATACCGTGAGCCATTTTTTTAATATATTGTTGGCATCTGTGGCATATGATTTTTTTTACACCACAGTTCCACGGGCCAAAACCACTGTCTACTAATTATGGACGTTTCAAGGGATTGCCCTTAAAGGGGAAGGTCATGTGTAAAAACAGGGTTCAGATTGGGATGTCTCTAAACCAATGCTAAGTCTGGAATCATCACTCGACAACAACAATTTGCACTTATAGAAAACTAATCCTTGCATTTGATATGTGGAGTCCTGTAGCTCGGTGGTTAGAGCGCTCGCCTCGCAAGCGAGAGACCTGGGTTCGATTCCCGGCAGGGGCAAAACCTTGGGCAAGTTTCCTTACTCCACACACCTGAAAATAATCCCTCACGAAATAAAAAAATAAAATAATAATTTGGTCAGTCAATCAACGACTGTTTGTAGGACACTGCTGTGAGCAATTGGCTGCCGGGTTTTACCCACAAATATACAGTCAATTCACTTTACAGTATATTCTGTGAAGTGCTTTGAGACGTCTAGAAGACATGAAAAAGCGCTGTATCAAATGCAAGGATTATTATTATTATATACAGCACCTTTCATCTCAGGACGTCTCAAAGCGCTTCACAAGATCACTGTAAAGGGGAATGAATGTACATTTTGTAGGCAAACCCAGCAGCCAACTTGTGCACAACAACGTCTTACAAACAGCCGTAAAGTGAACAATAAATTTTGTTTTATTTTTGAGGGACTGTTAGCCAGTAATTCCCGTGCCTTTTTGAATCAAGCCATGGGATCTTTAATGTCCACCTGGACAAGCAGACTTGATCTTGGTTTAACGTCTCATCTGAAGGACAGCACCTCCAACAATGTCACACTCCCCCAGCACTGCATTGGAGTATCAGCCTGGACTATTCAAATTTAAAGTCCCAATGTGGAGCTTGAACCCACAATCCTACTCACTCAAAAGCGAGTGCTACCAACTGAGCCAGGTTGACACACTAGCCTTCCACCCTTGTGTTGCCAATAGTGAACATATTTGAAACTTGAAACCCACTATCTCCTTTGTACTTCATTCATCAACAGGAGAAGCATAATTAATTATGCAACAGCTTCCCGGCTTTCCCCATGTAATCAGAAAGCTTTGTTTCCAAATAGTTTATTCAAAATGTAAAAAGGGTGTAAATTAACCCTGGTTTAAAATGCAGAGAGCTTTGCGAAGAAAAAAATAAGAACATATGGGCTTAAAGGTAGCATGTGAATCATTGGTAACATCAGTCCAGAGAACTCAGCAGTTCCCAAACCAGCACCACTGGCAATTGCTGCAAGCTTGAATGAGCTATTAAGTTGCATATGGTGAAAATATCTGGACAGTTCAACCGCAGTGACTCAGGGAAGTGCCTGGAGCAGTGCTACTGACTGTGGGTTTCTCCAGTCCCCTGGTAACCTCTGTCTACAGTCAATAATCATAATAATAGTACACCTTGCATTTGACATAGCACCTTATCACATTCGCTGAGACGGCTCAAAGCGCTTCACAGAATATACTGTTAAGTGAATTGACTGTATATTTTGTGGGAGAAACTCGGCAGACAATTGCACACAGCAGTGTCCCACAAGCAGTCGTGGATTGAGTGACCGAATTATTATTATTTTTAAATTTATTTTTCGTGGGGATTATTACCCCCGGAAAAGCTATCCGCCAATCGACTGACAACCGGGTTCCTACTTACTACTAAATAAACAGAGGTGTGTGGAGTAAGGAAACTTGCCTAAGGTTTCACCCTGTCTGGGAATCGAACGCAGGTCCTCTTGCTTGCGAGGCAGGTCCTCTCGCTTGTGAGGTGAGTGCTCTAACCAATTAATTAGAAATTTACTGTTACAGATTACGTCACTAATATGATAGGAGACTGCCTCCCCTAACCCTCCCCCCACAATGTCCATTCCAAGGAGCTTTGTCTTGGCATGAGCTGAACATGAACCTGCATTATTCTGCAGCTACTGCCACAATGGGGGGAGGGAGGTAAAAGTGTCCAAGGCGGACAAAGGAAGGCGGTAATCCCATGTAAAGTGAGGGCTGTGTGGGGGACGGGGGGGGCTAGAGTCAGATTTCCCTGGAACCTCACATTCGGTGTAGCCCAATTCAAGTATAAAACAGATCTTTTTGATATTGTTACGCAGAACAAAATATCCCCTTTGGGAACGGCAAAGGAGGCGGGGGGAGGGGAGGGGAAGAGAGGGAGGGGGGTGGGGGGGATGCACCATCTGGGGAATAAATGCAATCTTAAACGAGGACCAAGGAAAACCTTAATGTTTTCCTGCAAAGTATTGCGGCTTTGAAACTTAAGCCTTATTTATTCATTTTCGTAATTGGAACAAGCTCCTGCTAGATCACTGCTCATAAATAATGTATTAACATTACACAGTAAATACTAAGCAGAGTCATTATTCCTTACTCATACAATCTTGCTCCACTCTCTCTTTCTCTATTGCTCGCTCGCTGTTCCCCCACCCTTCCCCCAACTCCAGTAGCACTTTATTGCTAAGGTGACAATTCAAGCTAATGGACTGCTTTCTGGAGCCATTTCCATTTATTGCTATGGTCATAAGCACTTAAGGCTCTTTCAGCCTCACTAAAGGTCCCAGTTACAAAACAGCAGCAAATGAGAAGGCCGCTGCCATTTACACAGACTGACTACAGCTGGTTCTTCTCCAGCCCGTTACAGCGTCACAACTTAATAAGTGTATCAAGACTTCAGCCCCAATCCGATTAGCTCCTGCCAACCCAAATCACTGGGCAGTCAAGGATGTGCACTCGAGCTGGGGGTTGGGATCAGGAGGGGAGGAGGGCAAGAAGTAGGACACATATATATTGAAAGGCATAGGACACAGATTTCCTGCAGCTTCTAGGTGCCGAATTTTGCACTTATTTGGGGGAATTAATTGATTATAATTTTGCCTAAATTGGTGAAGTGGCCCTGGCAAAGATGCATCTTTAATCATGTGATGTGTATTACTGATTACTGGTGTGTTAAGAAAATTCCTCTGAGCCAAGGCAACCTATTAATCACAAGGGCACAGGATCGATGCAGCCAACAAAGTGACAATGAGCACAATGGTGACAATAACGGTGTCTTCCTCCCAACACGATGTCAGATAACTTCGGAGGATGATGTGCGATGAACCATTTTCAATCCATGACTGTTTGTGGGACACTGCTGTGCGCAATCGGCTGCCGTGTTTCACCCACAAATATACGATCAATTCACTTTACAGTCTATTCTGTGAAGCGATTTGAGACGTCTAGAAGACGTGAAAAGCGCTATATCAAATGCAAGGATTATTATTATTATAAGATCGCAGTGACTTGTGGGTGAGCAAACTTAAGGCACGAGCACCGTAAAATGGGACCAAAGAAGGTCCACAATTACAATACATGGAACAAGATGCGGAGCAAGTGTTAAGGCGCCTTCTCAGAAGGTGCGGTCTGGGTGCTGTTTAATCAACTCTTGTAAACACTGGCACTAATACCATGGGTTGGGTGGCCTCCTACAGTAGTATGCAATGCTACAGTTCCCAGCTTGTTGCATTATCTTGCTTCTCGCACCTTTTGTAAGCTACCTCTTGGAAACATCACACACGGGTGCACGAACAATCTCATTCTCCCACTTTCTGTCAACCGACGTCTCTTGTTGCTGTTGGTCCGGCTGAAGGAGCGCAACAAACGCGGAGCTCTGTTATCAGGGATCGACTTAAAAGAATTGGACGAGTTGGTGGAAGTGCCCACTCCTCCTCCTGAACACACACTTACAGGACACAGATAAGAAACCGCACTCGGCCATTTAAAAAAAACCTTGGAAACAACCAGCCAGCCAGCACCTCATTCTGGGAACACTCCCAACATTCTGATAAAGTCCCCCGAACAGGCCAATAAAAGTGGCCTTTGCAAACTCAGGTACGAACATGGAAGATAACTGAAGGGAGCGTGCATTGGCAAGTGAGATAGATAGCTGTTTTTTATTGTAACAATTTGAAGATACTAGAGAAAAGGAGTCACTGCCTAAACATCTTAATGGATCATAAAGTGATGTTGCCATGGGGACCAATGGACATCTTTTCTGAACCCGCCGACAATTGTGCACTTCTCATAGCCCTTCACTTCTATCCCCCCCACCCACCCCCCCACAGTTTTTCTTTGAAACTTTATGGAAATTCTGCAGGGGACTTATAGCCTCCCCCGCTCCACCCACACACACATACCCACATAATGTGACCCTTCCGATCTCCTCTCATCCACTAACCCCCACACATCATGCTGCTCTTTCCACCTTGTCTCACTGCACCCCGCTCTCACACACTTACACACAGACACACATACAATACTACTCCTCCCATCTTCTCTCTCTGACGAGGCTCCCCCCTCACACGTGCAATCAATGTTGGACACCACTTACCGTCTTGCTCGGTCTTGGTCATTTCTTCGAGTTTCTTCTGTTTCAGTGTGTCCACCACGTCGGCGAGGCTTCCTTTGCGCCGCTCTGGGGTCCCAAAAGCCCCCCCGGTCATTAGGTCGCTGCGTTCACGAGCCCCATCGTCTGGCTTGTGTGGTGAGGTAGTTGCATTGCGGAAGGAGTATAGGGAACAGACTTTACTGCCGTCTGTGTCCTAAGGAGAAAGGAGAAGAGACAATTTTCACCATCGTCATTCACAGACCAGGTGGACACAGAGTGGATTTCACAACAACAATAAGTTACATTCATACACGTGTCAACGCGCTTTACAGAATGAGTTTAATTAGTAATGGAGTTTAGAAATGAAGGGAGTTTCTCCCAGTGTCCTGGCCAACAATTCTCCAGATGAACTGGAGATGGTCATTCACTTCATAGTTTTTCACAGCACGTTGCTGTGGGCAAATCGGCTGCCAAGTTTGTCCACAAACACACAGTTACTATTCTTGACATCAATTACCTGTGAAGCGATTTGAGATGTTTCACCATCATAGCAGCAATGTCAAATGCAAGATGTATAATCAGTTTTAAAGAAATACAGGCAAATGCGGCAGCTAATTTGTGCCAGTAACTTGATATAAATCCGAAAGCGAGGAGTAACCAATTAATGAGATATTTTGAGGTGGGTTGGATGAGGAGGATATATACAACAAAACAACATTTGTAAAGCGCCTTTCATGTTGGGAGGACGTCCCAGGGCACTGAACAGTCAGACCAGGATATATATAAACCAGGATTGCAGAGAAAAACTTCACATTTCTTTGTAATCTTTGGAACTCCAACAAATCCACCTCTGACTCACTCCTTCTTCATTTTCAAGTCGCACCTCACAATTTAACCATTTTCCCCTTCTCTCCCCCACACCCTCAAGATGAAAGTGAATGAAATGTGTAGGAATTCTCAAACTGTGGATCTGGCTCAAATGGATCCTAAGTTCTTTCCAGTCCTGGATGTTCCCAGAATTGTACAAATGGCAATACAGAAAGACCTTGCATGTTCGTATGTCTGAAAGACGCTACATATAAATGTAAATATGTACTGTATTGTTGTAAAGAATTGCTTCCTGTCATGTTGATGTACATTTTCTTATGAAATAAGCAACTTTATCAGCACTCCCTGTTCATTATAATGGGATCCTATACAATACCATTTATATTTCGACAGCACCTTTCACGTCGGGAAGATGTCTCAAAGCACTTAGGTTGGGCTGGTGTACCATGCAGTGCACGGACCATCCAGAACATTTAGCATGATGTGGCACTGGTTAACCATCAAGTCATGCATTGCATTTTTTGAGTTGAAGAGACTGGCATTTGCTGCTGAGCTCGACAAATAATAATAATAATCCTTGCATTTGATATAGCGTTTATCATGTTGTTGAGACGTCTCAAAGCGCTTCACAGGATATACTGTAAAGTGGATTGACTGTGTATTTTTGGGGCGAAACACACCACAAAGGAGGATTCAAGAAAGGCACTGAGTGGTAGGATATCACGACACAATCTGGACCTCGCAAAATCTCAAACTAGAATCACTGACAATTCACACTGATTGAGCTTTGTCTATTTTTTTAAAAAAAGGGGAGCTCTTTTTTTTCGGTTGAAAACTATGTAGAAGTCCATTGTTCCCTGCAGGCACACTCCCTGACAAGACCTGGCAATGAAGTCGCAGAATGCATCTGTTCTCACTGCATGTTCGTCCACTGGCATCTGTGGAGCAGCCGGTCAGCATAAGATTGTGTTTTATCGCCAAGAGCTAGTTAGAAAAGAAAAGAGCCTGTGGGAGAGACATGGTGGGGGGGGAGGAAGAGAGGAGACTGCAGAAGAGTACTTCACATTTACTTATACTCCCTTCCTCATCCAAATGTCCTCCCGAGTTCAAATTGGCTGCTTGCCTCATTGCTAACTGTGGGATGTATCTGGCACACATTAACTATGATGTTTGCCAGCGTAACAATGCCCACTTCATTTCTAACCAATTATGTTTTAGCAAGGGCTGCTCAACTACTTTTTTTTACACACGTGAAAGATGCTACATAAATGCACATTTATTAACGTCATTCTTATAATTGAAAAAGACGTGCTTTATTCAATATTTTCAGGTGGAAGGAATTTGAACATTAATTAAGTGCCAAAGAGTTTTTGTCTCGATCTGCAAGGCTGGCGCTATCTGTCTCAGATTCTCTGCCCGCCTCAACTTCTTTGAAGTGAGATGTTACCCGTTATTCGACCATGCCATCGGTTACCCCCTTCCCCTCCCCTCCCTTCTCCTTCCCTGACCCCAGCTCGGGTCTTAAATGCTGTACACTGTCCAGCGCCTTGGGACGTCATCCCGACGTGAAAGGCACTATACAAATGTAATCTTGTTGTTGTTATTGAGCAAACACAAGCTTCACTGTTATCAATAAAATCCTTGCATTTGGTGCCGGGCCTTTCAAGTCAGGAGGACATCTCAAAGTGCTTTGCAGGATTTACTGTAAAGTGTGATGACTATGTATTTTGTAGGTGAACGCAACAGTCAATTTGCACACCGAAATATCCTACACACAACCATGAAGTGAATGTCCCAATTATGGGGGATTGTTGTCCAGGACACTGGGGAAACACTGCCCTTCGCTTTTCAAGTAGTGTCGTGGGATCTTTCACATTCCACTTAAACAAGCAGGTGGCACATCCAACAATTAAAGATACTGTTAAAGAGACTTGAACCCACACGCGACTCAGAGTTCAGCTTTACTGCATTCTGCAAAATGAAGCTGAGGAAAATGGCAGCGTAGTTTGCCGAGGGTTAATGGCATTCGGGATCCTCGCTCAGTGCAAGCAGAGAGCTACGCGGGCTCCACGCAGCACACTCTCTCCCACATGTGTAACATTACTTCGCTAATTAGAAAGCGCTTACTTGTGCCCAGATTGGTATGGGTTTCTCTTCCACTTACTTAGTGCTCCTGTCATTTGCAACCACAGAGATATTGCACAGGGCCTCAAAGCGCAAACAAGCGCAGACATCATGGGATAATTTCTAACCAGAGGTAATGGGTGCAGGCAGGCGCATCTTTTAATGCTCTTTATTTGAACTATTATAATTAAAGAGCTTAAGTCCCAGAATGGAGGGGGGGGGGGGCGGGGTAGACCAGTGCTCTTGTGTGGCTGTGGTGCACTGGCACAAAGGTCTCTGGGGTTTAAACCTCTCTGCCAGACCAAACCTATATTTAGATGAGAATGTCACAGACTGACATGCTATTTTGCACTGCTACCGCCTTGCTTTTGCATGACAAATCAGGTTTCACATCTGCATAACATTCGGCGAGGAGAGCACACGGGAAACAGACGCAGTTCGTTCAACACAACACTGTCTCGTCCAGATTTTGCTAATAGCCCCCACCCAGCCCCCCCACTGCCCCATACACCCTCCAACATTCACCACTGCAACACAATGACACGTTCACAAAGCACTCCCACTACCTGATTACCAGCCTCAATCACCTCGCCATACACTCAAAGTGAGTGCACACTGCGGAAAAAAAAGCCTCAACACCTATAACGTCCAATCAGATCTTTAAAATTCAGTATGCCTTAAAATTACAAGTGTGTCCAGGCTGACACTGAAGAGCTTTTTTTTGGAGGAGCTCTTCTTTGGATGAGATGTTAAACTGAGGTCCCCTCTGCCTGTTCAGGTGTACGTTAAAGATCCTGCTGCGCTGTTCGAAGAGTGAAATGAGTTTCTCCCGGTGTCCTGGCTAACAATCCCCTAAATGAAATTGGTCATTCACTTTGTGGCTGTTCGTGGGACATTGCTGTGAGCAATTTGCCTACAGAATAGACAGTAACACTGCACTTTGCAGTAAATCCCGGGAAGCGCTTTGAGACGTCCTCCAGACGTGAAAGGCGCTAAGTCAACTGCAAGAATTATTATTGTATTGTGTTATTAACTGTGGCGTGCTGGCGTGTTGTGTGCTTCAGTGCAACGAATCACCTATTCTCAACCCTGACTTTTCCTTTTGCTTTTTGGAAGAGTCTGAATTAGATACGAAGAGATTGAACACGGAGGAGGCTGACAATAAAAAAAAGCAGAATAAGAAGTTGGCCACAACCCAAGATAGATAATCCCTATAAACATGCAGGAATGCAGAAAGTCCAAAGTGAATAGAGACTGATTCACTGCAATGATTCATGTTACACACATTGCACATCCCGGTCAGGAGACATTCTCCGCAGTTCAGCCTCTCCCTCGATCTCGATGTTGACATTTTGAGAGAATCAGGGCATTGTTTCTCGAGGTCGGGTGACATCGGAGGCTTTTATTGTTGCGATGCATTACAAAGCGAACACCAACAGGAAACAAAACACTTGTGTGCGCGCACACATTCTCCAGGGTGTTTTTCAAATCCAGTTGGCAGGCATTCAAAAAAGCAACCCACACCACCACCACCACACATTCGCAACCTGAATTCGCTCAACACGAGTACCTGCCTACTTGCCCCAGTAAAAAAAAGAAACACAGCTTATAATAATAATAATTTAAATTTATATAGCACCTTTTAATGCTGAAATGGATCTAATGTAGTGACTATGTATTTTATAGGCAATCTTGGCAGCCAATTTGCCCGCACTAATTTGCCACGACCAGCCAGGAGATGAATCCTGGAGGACCATTGGCCAGGTCTCTTTTCAATAGTGCCAAGGTATCCTAAATAACTTCCTGACCAGGCAAATGGGGCACAATGGGCCAAGTGGCCTTTTCTTTGCTATAAATTTCAATGGCTGAGGGACATCGCTGTCAGCAATACAATGCTCCTCGATGTGGTGCATTACATTGTCAGCCTGGACTGTTGGGCTCAGTATCCTGACTTTGGGCTTCTATTCCTCTGTGTCAGAGCTGAGAGTGATAATGACTGAACCAGCTTCCCCTTGGCAGCAAAGCTTTGGAAAAGACACATTTGCATGACTGCTATTTGGATTCAGTCAGTTTCTGACAGTATGAAAACAGTGGTGTGAAGAGAACAATATAACGCAAACACCCAGAGTGTTCATCTTATTCACTGGAGAGGAGTTTATCAGGCCTTTAATCTCCATAGGACAACAACTAAACCCTTTATTATTCACAAGAGGCGTCGTGGATGTTCACTACTCACTCGACCAGATAAGCGCGGGAAGGCAG